AGCACTGTGGTAACCTGGGCTCTGTCTTCACAGGAGGCCAAACAGGCTGAGAACATCTGCACCCTGGCAGACCTGCCCGAGGGACAGGTGGGGAAGCTGCTGATCCGCAGGTCGGGGAAGGTGCAGCTGGTCCTAGGCCAAGTGACACTTGATGTGACCATGGGGACACCCTGCTCCTTCCTGCAGGTAAAGCTCGCAGCAGGCTGGGGTGCGACAGGGAAAACGTGGTGCTGCAGTGGGAGCCCTGGGAAAGCCTCTTCCATCCCCTGCCCCCCCATCATCATGTGTCAGTCCTGCCCAGCCTGGCAGGGACCCTAGAGAAGTGAGAACTTCCTGGGCCTGTGAGATGTTTGTTGGGAGCCAGCCATGGTAGGTCTATAACCCACATGTCTGCCTCCATGAATCTACATCCTCCATGTGGAGGTCAGTGTGTGAAGAACTGGACTGAGACATCCCATCTTGTTTCATGTAGTGGCCACCGCAAGGATCTAGCGTTCAGCCCCTTCTCCCAGGTTTGACATAGTCCAGCCCCCTGGAGGTGCAAGGCCCTGTATCTGAAACTCTCCTGCATGCCAAGAGGACAAGCCACTGCTGGGTCACCCAGAGCTGTCCCAGGGGCTCATGCATTGGGGCAGGCAAGAAGAGATCCACTGCAATAACCTGTTTTTCTCCCTTCTACCAAGGAGCTGGTATCTGTGGGCATTGGAGACGGCAGGACTGGGGAGATGATTGTCCTAGGCCATGTGAAGCACAAGCTGGTGTGCTCCCCGGACTTTGAGGCCCTGCTGGAGCACAAGCATCGATAGGAAGGGAGAAGGCAGCATGGGAGGGGAGCTCTCCAAGGCATGCTCCCTAATTTGCTAAAGATACATCACTCCTCTGGGCAGCAGTCATCTTGGGTCATAGAAAGCAGGTGTGTGCCACATGGGGCTGCCCTGCCACAGCCATCAGGAACTGACAAGCCTTAGCCTACGTTCTCTGGCTGTGCTCACAGGGCTAGGGGAGACGGGCTTCTCCCTTCTAGCAGTAGCTACCCATTCATGTTAAACTGGGTAGAAGTGGTCCTGTCCCTGCTGGCATGTGTGTACTTATGCTGTATAGAGAGGAACTGTTACCACCTTGTGTTGGACAAGCTGCAGACACACCAGCCTCTGTGTCCATGACCCCAGCTTTAGATTGCAACCCCAAAACCCAGTCATCTTTGGGTGTGGTGGGTTCTCACACAGTCTTGTGGTACCAGTGACTCCCTTCCCTGCCCAGCCCTGAAGATGAGCTGATAGGATCCCATCCTTCCCATCCCCTGCCTGCAGCCACTGCCATGGAGCTAAGGGCCTGGGGTTCAAAGTGGCACAAGCTGCTTCCTTCAAGCTTCTGTGCAGTGCTCCCAAGACCTGGTGCTGAGAGACCTCAAACCAGACACTGGACTCCACTGAGAGCATGGTTCACCATCTTTCCCTGCAGCTCTCTTGAGCGCAGAGGGCTACAAAGGGAGCTGCAGAGGGCCGTGCTGTCACCCTGAGACTGCTTCCCCTTGAATGAGGATTAAAATAGGCTGGGTCTCAAGCCTAAATCCTGCAAGCAGGCTCTGCAGAAGAACCCCAACCCCCCAAATCTCTGAAGACCTTGGTGCAGTGCCTGGAGCTGCCTGGGTGCAGCATTCCCAGGAGCACCCCATGAAAGGACTTGCCGGTAACATCACCAACCGCTGACCTTAGTGTTAGGAGGAGCTAAATATTGGGTGCGGCCTTGGTTCCACCTGGCCTCGGCCCCTTCCCCCTGCTGCGTGTGGCTCCTCAAGGCTGTGAAGGAGCCGGATGATGCCTGCTGCATTGGGGGTGAAAGCGCGAGTCCTGCTGTACTCGGAGAAACCGCCTCTGCAGACTGCACCAGTCCTTGGTCTCACCCTCATGTGCCTGTGTGATCAGATGGAACCAGGCTCCTTGTGCCATTGAAATGACTTCTTCCCACAGGCACTGCTCTTGGGAAGACCGGGACAAGTGCACCCAGGCCCTGGCCTGGTCATGCCCAAGGGAGGGCTGCAGTGCTGGCGGGCAGCAGCCAGGCGACTGGGTTCCTCCAGGAAACAGTGAAGGTTGTGTTAGGAAACAGAAGTGGAATAAATGTTCCTCCTCCTCTGTGCATGGTACAGGGCTCCAGTTTTTTCCTTGCGGTTACAGCGCTTCCCATCTGCATGCTCTGCCTGCTGCTCCAGCTGGTATTGATGTGCCCACTTTTTGGGAACAGAGTTGTCACTACTACCTGTGGCCCCTTGCAAACCTGTCTTCCCAAGCCCTGCCAATGAGACTCCCTTTCCCATTCCTCTATCCTTATGGTCCCTGCAGCTCCCAGCCTTTTACCTGGATCCTTCCTTCCCAGCCCTCTACCCTGATGGGATGCTACTGTCACAAGTCAGGATGACTGAGCAGCTTGACATTCAGTATAGTAGCAGTCCCCAGCCCATGGTTTGTGGGCACCATGTTGACTGCAAGACTTCTGCCCCCATCCCCTCCTGGCCACAGCGAATGTTGCTTTCCACAGCTTCTTGAAGCTGACCTGGAAAGCAAAGCAAAATGTGACATTACTCAGTTCATGAGCCAACAAATGAACGCAGGAGTACTGTTCTTTATGTGCCACTTCCCTCTGTTAATGTACCTGTGCATGTGTAGGAAGCAAGGAAGTCATTCAGTTAACATTTCATTACCTGGGTGAATGGGTTTGCCCATCTGACAAACACCCTGCAAAGTCTCCAAGATTTCGCTGATGAAAGCATCCATGTCAGGTGGCCACAGTGACAGTCTTGCATGTCCAGATAATCTGTGTTCTCTGTGCCAAGAACCAGGTCTCCCTCCTCATAGCTACAGAAGCGTTATAGGTACATCTGCAATTGATAACACTTGGACATGCTGCTCACATGGGCAGCAGTATGAGGGTTAATTCTTGGATTGGGCTTTGTAGTTGAATGCTCCAAGAGTTGGAATAAGGTGCCTGGCTTTCAAAGTCCAGCTTGTGTCCAAAAATCTGTGAAGTCTATACAGTAAAGAGATTTAGCAAGTTCCTAGCCTATGCAAGGTGCTGACGCAGCCAAGCAAGGCCTGACTGTAGGGCAGGAGAAAGAAATCTCTATCCCTCGGGGAGATGATGTCTGTAGGCTGTGGACATGGCCTGTGCTCAAGTTCAACTGTTCAGACTCCTCTTTTTCGTGGAAAAAAAACAAGAATTGTGAGGCTCCCAGGCCTCTAACCATAGGCAGAAAAGGGGGAGGGATGTGCCTTGGTGGGCGAGTAATGGGCAGTGGTTGGAACCATTGGGGAATGGTATGGTGCTGAATACTTTTTCTTTCCCCGTGCCCCTCTTGCCACCACCACCTGGCAAGACAGAGTGGCCCAAAGCTGCCAGCACTGGCAGACTGCAGGCCCAGGAGGATGCAGCTAACCACTGGAGAGTGCTGGAGGATGCGCCAGTTTCAGTGGGGTGACACGGGTGCAAGCACTGCTGTTGGGCAGGTACAGGAGGAAGGACGGACCATCAGCCCGGTGGAGGAGGTCACCCCAGGTCTGTTTATTGGCGCATGGTGTCCTTGATGTACCGAGCTATCTCAAAGGCCTTCAGGTTCAGCATCCCTCCCTGGATCCCCTTGTGGCCTATAAGGATGAGGCACACGGAGCTGACCAGGGTCACTGTGACAGCGTGCGTATAATTATCCATATCATCCTCTAGGTGCTTGGTCCGTAGGTCCATGGTGTAGCTATGAGTTTCCTCATACAGGTTGTCCCGGATCACCAGGCACTGGAGCCCACCCAGCGTCAGTCCCTGGGTGAGCAGGGGGGCTCGGTTTCTGCCAAGCAGGGTTTGGATCTCGGCTTGGGTTAGGTTGGCCAGGACCCCACCATGGTGAGCGGCCATCAGCTGCTGGTGAGGAATGGAGACCGCTGCGGCATCACAGCACAGCCCATCTTTCATGAGGCTGTTGATGTAGCTTTGCCAGCCGGCCATCTTATCATCAGGGCAGCAGGGTGGGGCGAGCCCTGGCCTATTGGCTCCAACAGGGGCAGTGGGGACAAAAGGGAAGCCAGGTGGAAGAGAAGACTAATGTAGCATCCTGCACTCCCAGCCCAGGGCGGTGACCACTGTTGGTGCCCACTGCATGTAGGCGAGTCTCCGGCCTGAGATGTCACAGTTCTGGCGGCGGTGAGTGACCCCCCCCGACCCTGACACGATGAAGGCTCAGTTGCCCTTCATGGCTCTGCCCAGAGCTCCAGAAACTGGGCAGTGATGTGATGGGAATGAGGTCATCTCTCTGTGATGTCACAATGCAGCTTAGTGACTGCAGCTCAGCCGGGACTTCTGGCCTCTCCCCAGGTCTCTTCCCTGGAAGAGCAGCCTCAGCTGTGTACTTGGCAGCTCCTCCTGGGTCTAGTCTCAAGGGGACAGGCAGCAGCAAGGGCCCCCACAACTCTCCCAGGAGGTGATGGAAACCACCCCCTAGCAGAGGGGAGGCAGGTCAAGATAGAAGAGCCTGGTCTTGCTCTTCCCTTCCTGCCTTCCTAGGGCCCTTCCTGGGCAAGGGGTGTATTAGCATGGGGGAACACTGATATCTTCCTCCCACACCCTTTGCCCCCAACTGAATGACCAGCTTTGCAAAACAGATGTCATGGGCCCTGGTTCAGCCATGACACCTGCTGCCCCCCCTGGGGCTGTCTGGCAGCAGGGAGGGGCATAGGGGCCCTTGGTGCCCAGCTTTGGGACTGGCACAGCAGTTGAGGGCACAGAGGACCCTGTGTGCTACCTCTCCCCAGAGGACTCTGAGTGGTGCCTCCAGGGTCCCCAGCAATGCTGTGCTGCAGCTGGGGTTGGCAGGCAGCTGGGGTAGGCCCTATGCCCAGGAGTGTACATATAGTGATGGAGGCAGAGTCCTGCTGGCTGCAGTCAGATCTCTTTAATGGCAGCAGAGAGGCACTGACTTGATCAGGGTGGCAATACAGCTCTGTATGTGTATAGGCACGTGCTGGCTGTGACCTGGCAGGCCCAAGAAAGCAGCTCTTCTGGTGCTGCCTTGCAGCTTGGATTTGCATTGCTGCTGAGCCTTTCCTCCTCCTCCTCCTCCTGGGTCCTGCTGTTCTCTTCTTGCTCAGGGTACCATGTCCTGCCCAGAAGAGCCAGGATGCTGCCATCTTTCCAGGCTCCTAGCTCCCCTTGCAAGCCTTGATGAGTGTAGGACACAGACCTGCCAAAAAGTAGCCCCCACTTGCCCCTAATCCCCCCTCCACCTCCCTTGCCTGTCCCCCACCTGGTACTAAGCTATGCTCCTTGTGTGCTGCTACCTATAATGTTCTGCTCACTGCATCCCACTGGCCCCTCCAGCCAGTGGGATGCAGCCTAATGTCCTTCTTTTAGAGCTGGGCCTGTTGGAGCAATAAATCTCCTTTCCTGTTGGTTTGGAGTTGACTGGTACCTCCCCCTCCCCGCCACCCACTGGAGCCCCTTTGCAGCTCGAGACAGAGGTCTGAGCCCAGGAGAGCAGACCTAGGCTGGGGTGGGCTCCCCAGCTCCCCTCCCGGAGTGGGCGCTGCTTCTGGGGTGCTGTTCCCAGGCCCAGACAGTTAGTTCAACTAACTGGCTTCCTCAGCTTTGACCTCGGAGCTGTTGCTTCCTTGGACTTCCTTCATCTTGTCTAGAGCAAAGAGCAGATCCAGCTGGGTGAGTGGCCGCAGACTCTGCTCTTCTTCCTCCTCTGCATCCCTGTAACAGAGTTGCATGCATCAGGGGGTTGCCCCATGCGTGGGGGTGCCCTCGGTCCCTCCTTCTGCACTGCAGCCTTCCCCCTCCCAGTCCCATGCCTCCAGCCCCTTACCACTGACTGGGGTTCAAAGGGGAGTTTTTCTGGGCATGTGATCCAGGATAAAGACCAGCAGGCTTTTCTCTGGGTGGCAGGGGGTGAATATAATGGGGCCTGAGCCTGTCTGGCCCCCGCTCTGCACATCCCATCACAGCCCCTGCAGCCTCTCAGCCCCAACAAGGCCCCTAGTGCCCTGCCCTTCAGCCTATCTGTCCCCTGTATGTGGGTACTCTGTACCTGGGCACTGAAGCCAAGGGGGTTGAGACCCTGGAGAAGGACTGCAGAGAGCACATGCAGAGCCCCACCTGCTGTGAGCAGGACCCCAGCTGTCCTGTAGCAGGCGGGCAATGTGCCGCATCTGCTGCTTGCAGCAGTAGTCACGCACACGGTAAGTGGCGGCGTCCCTGCACAGCTCCCGCAGGTCATTGCCCGAGTAGCCGCCCGTCTTGTCTGCCAGCTCCTGCAGGTTCACCGCCGTGCTCAGCTGTTGCAAAAACACCAGGCATGCAGGCTGCAGAGGGTGCAGAAAGCCAACCGCACCTTCCTCCCCACGGCTGCCCAGGTCAGGGGCTTCTGCAACCAGGGGAGAGGGAGCACTGCAAATTGGACAAGGTGCTGGCATGGACAGGGCCCTATTTGCTAACAGTCATCATGGAAAGCCCTCTACCTCGCTGCAGAAGGTGAGGGTTGTCACAACCCAAAGTTGTGGATTTTTTAATTGTGTGTGCTTCGGGCACCGCTAAATTATGTTCCCGCCGAATTGGAGCTCTTTTGCACAACGGAGTGTTCTGTTGTTATGGAGAACCCGCGGGCAGAAAAGTGTATCCCACCGTTCTGTAGCCTTCTTTGCATTGTGCATTACTCTTGCAGTTAGTGATGCACGCTGCAAAGGAGTTTTCCCACCATTTGTATTGAGATTTGAGCCACATTGTTGGCCGGTCTTAATTTAGGCACACGTGGCGGCTAGCTATTGGCTTGCTAGCCATACAAAAGGCTTGGGTGGTTTCCACCCAAGTTGGAGAGAAAGACGGAGAGAGACGGATCTCTAAGCGCTGTGGGTCCTTTCGAACCCAGCGCATCTTTCTTAAGAAGGCGATAGAGGCTCCAATTGCCGAACCCCCGGAGCCTAGCAAACTCCGGGGCACCATTTACCGACGGCCTCTAGTCTCTCCCCATCACCGATCGCAGCCCAGACGAATCCCTACCCTAGAACCCAGTTATCGACACCACGGAGTCTAAACCACTCCGAGGATCCTGGGAACCGAGTAACACTCGCAGAGATACAGCTGCTCCGTGGGAACGAATTCTTGAACCCCGCGGAGCCTGATTCCCTCTGGGGTCAAGGAACCGAGTTTATTAGAGTCCTCCACCGAGAACTCAAGCGGAGCTGAGCCTGGAAAGCTGACCAGCCTACACCGCGACCATCTCCGGTGTAAGTAAATAATCTTTTCAATCAACCATTACGCCTCCGTGACTGATTCTAGCTCGAGCGTACTGCTCCACCCCGCGACTTTTCTCCGGCCCCGCGTGCCCGGGCTGCCGG